ATTGTATTATTGTATTATTGTATTATTGAACCATATTTTCCATGCATGCAGTCTTAACAATCCATATTGCAACAGTCCTGGTCTTAAAATATTTGCTGCACATTTTGCTAATATGGAACTTGCAACCTACATTAATGAGGATAGGTTTTGTTATTTGTTCTAATCCCCAAAAATCCATTCATCAAATTATTTATTGATATATTTATTATAAATATAAATTTTATAAATAACTTAAGGCTGCGAACATATCCAACACACCTTCTCCTCTTATTTTCCCCACAACAACTACCCTGTGATGGGAATCGAACTAAAAGAATGCCTAGCCAAAGGTCACCCAATCAGCTTTCATGGCTAAGGCAGGTTTAGAACTCACAGTCTCCTGCCTTCAAACTGGCTCTTAAAGTGGTTACTATCACTTTAACAGTATGTTTATCTGATAGTCTCAATAATCATCTTAGCCATAGTGATTTTCTGCCTTAAACCTAGTTCCTATTTACAGTTATGTCAAAAACAGCCTTACTATAGTATTTCCTAGAAAAGTAAGTAAAGAAAGCAACCTGTTGTGGGGACACTTATTTGAACAAAGTTTGCTCTTACTTTTAGCATTGCCTGCTGGTCTTCACTGTATTCCACCTGAGCTGATGAGAGATTGAGGACTGCTCTCTCCACAGAATCTTTGTCGTTGTTGTAGATGTACACATAGGGGCGTCTCACCACCACATAGCGCTTCACCCACCCATTTGTATGGGGTTCCAGAAAGTGTAGGTAGCCTTTTCTGGAGACAATAGGGCTGTAGAGGAGACACATTGGCATCCCACTTAGTAATTACATACAAACATCACAGTGTGTGCTCAACAATCAACCCTATGGAGCAATTTTGTGGTCCCTGGCAAATCTGGGAGACTGACGGTTGGGATGGGTCAATATAATTGGAATGAGATGATTCCTCTGATAATCTGATCCACCTCATAATGACTGGAATAAAATTCACAGTTTCAGTCAAGTTGCTAATTGTTCCACTTGCCCATAGTTTTTACCTGACCCGAATCTCTTGAATATCAGGAACCAATAGGCGCTGGATTTCCTTATCATCCTCGGGCCCACAAACAGGAGATTTCTTCTTCTCTCCTTCGATGGTGAGCTCAATTTCTGGACTTTCTACTCTGGAAGAGAGCTGGAGAGTTCTGCAGAAAAAAAGCAGGTTTGTAACTTCAATTACATTTTGACCTATGGTCTTTATTTTTCATAGTAAAATAATGTACCTTTGATACATAAACAACCCCAACATTTTTAGCCTTGCCAGCTTTCTTACCTGGCTTCTGTAGCACTATAATGGCCTTCGATCAGGGATGGACAGGTTGAGGAGGGGGTCAAAGTTGCACTACCAAGGCCTGACATGGAGGGGTCTCTCAGCAGAGTCACTGACATTTCAGATAGCTGGATATAAAAAGAATCTGTCACTGGATATGCTTGTCTGGAAACAAATATCTCCAAATCTTGGTTGCATGCTTCAGCACTTTTGCAACTATATATTCAGGACCATTTCAGAAAAAAAGCATCCTAATGTCTACAAATTATTCTCAGTTATCATTTATTCTTCTAAAGCAGAGCTGTCAAACTCGAGGCTCGGGGGCCAGATCTGACCTGTGGGATCCTTAGATCTGGTCTGCGGGGCCACCCTGGAAACAGCGAAGGACTGGCCTGCGGTGCCTCTGCCAGCGAAAATGGAGCTGGGGAGGGCTGTGGGCAGCCCTCCTGAGCTCCATTTTCACTGGTAGAGGGTTGCAGGAGGCAGTCACAGCCGAAAATGGAGCTCGGGCCCCCTTTTTGTTAGCTGAGCACTCAGGCCACTACAGGCGCCCCTGACACAAGTGACATTGAGCTGGCTACGCCCACCCTGGCCATGCCCCCTGCCCCCCCCCAAGGTCAAACACAACCCTGATGCAGCCCTCAATGAAATTGAGTGTCAAGCCCTGAGGGGAGTTTGAC